CCGTCACGGCGTTGCCCAGGCCAGGCCTCTGCGGGAGGACACTGTCCAGTGGGAGCCGCCGGAGAGGCTCGGCCTTGGTTTCCTGGGGCAGCGCTCTGTGGACTACACAGCCGTGTGCTTTAGAGCCCGAGCTGACCCCCAGCCGACCCCCGGCTGACCCTCCAGCGGGTTTTCAGAGGCAGTTAATTACAAGGAGGAGACTGCCCGTCCTCCCAAAGAGGAGCTGCTGGCCTCGAACTGTGTGCCTTCGGGATCGCAGCGCAGTTTCTTACCACTAGGCCGCCAGACTATACTGTCGCAACTCAAAATCCCAAGAAAAAGTATCAAGAGAAATAATAATTGAAGCGACCCTGTTGAGTCACCTGTGTGGGAGTCTTGGCCTTCTGCTGGTCTCCTCGTGCCGCGATGCAGGTGACCCACCTGCACACCTTCTGTTAGAAGTGCAGTCCTTGGGGACAGGTCACCCTCATTCTGGTTTGTTGTCCTTAAACCCCAGGTACCCCCACTGCTGGCTCACGGCGACGCTCGCACGGTTTCCAGGGCTCTCACGTGTTCTTCCCAGCCCCTCAGTTTATGGTGGAACAATGGGATGGAAATGGTAGGGAGGTGCAGGCTTTCTTTGTAAAAAGGTATGAATTAGTATCTGTCCATTTTTGGTGTTACTGTTGCTCATTGCTTTGAAGGCAGAAACACACACCCGGGAGTTTTCAGAGGCTGCAATTACCTGGGAGGAGGCGGCCCAGTGTCTGCCCAGGGAGCGGCTGGTGTATTCAAACCTCCTATCTTTGGGTTGGTGACGCCTTACCACGAGGCCACCAGAACTCCCTGTTTTTAACGTACTTTGAAAACTGTTATTTTCTTAAAAAGAATTTTTTTTCTCTTCCTCTCTCTCTCCTCGTCCCTGAACCATCCCAGACTGATCTATCCGTGTATAGACAGTTTCTTAGCTTTTCTGGTTTTTAGATGTCATCAAGTTACGATTTTCAGTGACTCGGTTGGAACCTTGTCCCTGCCTGTGCCATCTCACCGTCTCGGCCCTGCTCCGGCCCGTTGGCGTAGTTACGGTGACTGTCCATCTCTCTGAAGGTCTTCCTGCCTTTCTCTGACCCTCCAGCTTTTCCTACTGGTGGACTCACACCATCACTGTCCTCGTGTAACTGACTTACGCCTCTACGCGCATTGGCTCCAGGCTCGTCCCTGTAGTGCCGTGGTCCACACAGTGTCCATCTTCCGTACGATGCGTAGGACTCCACTGTGTGGACTTACGGTGGTCTCCTTAGCCGTCCAGCACTTGTGGACGCCAAGGTTATTTCTGACTCTTTGCTCCTGTAATCATGCTGCGGTGAGTGTGAAGGTCCGAGGCCGTGGTCTTTATGGAAACAGGCAGCCTCGTCTTTCTCCCAAGGAGCAGCTGGTGGGTGCGAACCTCCAACCTTTTGGGTAGCAGCCTGGTGACTAACCACCTCTCCACGCGAACCTTCTTACCCTGGAGTGCCTCACATAGTGTCCCCCGCCCTCTGAGCGTTAGCGGGATGAGCGCATGCGGTGTGGGCCTCAGCTTGTGGGGGGGCATGTCAGGTAAGTCTCTCCAGGACCCCCACTCACTGCAGGCTGTCCCTGACCTGGGTCTTCATGCATACCTCCTTCGTGCAGGTGCCTGTGCACAGGGCTGGTCTCCACAGCGTCCTTTTGGCCAAGGCCCTTCAGAAGCAGGTGACCGGGCCTGTCTCCTCAGTCACCCCTGGGGGGCTTTGAACCACTGACCTCTCTGACTAGCAGTGGAGTGCTTACCTGTTTGAGCCACCCAGGATCTCTTTGCAGCTGTTCCCAGAGGAGTAAGATCTGGTGGAGGGGTGGGACGGGGCAGAGGCCAGGGAACAGAGTTGGGGTCTCGAGGAGGGGCTAGGCGAGGGGATTAGTTTGAGGAAGACTTGCTGTGTGTGACTGGAAATTGCAGACATGTTCAGGCAGCTTGGATGGCCTGCTGCATCCCAGGACACGCCTGGCCGCCCGGCCTGAGTTTGTGGAGGGAGTGTGTGTAACGCAGGCCTGACCAGCACTGAACAAGACACCGAACTGGCCTCTGGTGATTCTCGCTTCACCTCCAGGGCTGGTGAGCACTGCTGGGCCGTTGGGACCCCTCAGGACACTTGCCCCAGTGTGGCCCTGGTCACGGAAAGGAGGTCGAGGGAAGATGGACCTGGAGAAGGAGGGTCTTTGGGGTGTCTGGATGCGTGTGGTGGGCGGGCGAATCCCCTCACAGACCATCGGCCGGGAGGAGAGAGTGGCAGACAGTCGCTTGTCAGCCTGTAGCAGCCCTGCTTCCTGTGGTGGCAGTCGTGACAGGAAGCCGTGAAGCTGTGGTTGTACCTGTGACAGTGAGCTCCACAGGAGGGATAAGCTCCACAGTGAGATAAACACAGTAAATGTCAGTGATACAAGAAAACCAGACCAAACCCAGCATTGGGGTGCTGACCAGAAGGTTGGTAGTTCGAATCCCCAAGCCAATCCAAGGGAGGAAGACGAGACCGCCTGTGCCTGTGAAGATGACGGGAGGACAGGTCAGTGGGGTCCTGTGGTTGCTGAGCCGGCACCGAGCTGACAGCAGCAGGCCTGGTTAGTGCTGGGCACCCTGGTGGTGCAGTGGTTAGGACCGGAAGGCATCTCCTGAGGGTACTTCTGGCCTCCAGAATGCAGTCCACCCCCAGATTGGGGTCAGGGCCTCTGTGCCGCCTCAGGAACACCTGGTCAGGGCGGACGGCTGTGCCAGTGGACGGGCAGGCACTGTGCCAGGCTCCAGGCTGCTCTGGGCAGCCCCACCTCAGCCCAGCTGTGGCTTCCCACCATCCTCCGTCTCCAGGCCCATGGGGTCACATGAGGGCGTGGGGGGGAAAGGCCTTTGCTGACCAGGCCGTGCTGCGGATGGAAGATCTGTGTTTCTGTGGGCCACATCTGAGCCAGGCCAGGGACGGTGTGGTCCAGGGGACTGTGCTGGCCCTGGAAGCTGGGATGCAGGTGAGGGAGTGGGCAGCGGAGCAATGAGGGACAGGCCACTGGTTTGCAAGGAGTGGCCGAGAGCAGATGGCCTGCACGGCTAGCCCCCCACACCGGGCCCCATGAGCAGAGCTGCTGGACGGCACAAAGTGAGCCCTTCACTGCCCGCCTGCAGTCGGGGGTCGGAACCCCCAGCTGCTCTGAGGGAAGTAGGGGATGCAGTTTGCTTCCGTAAGGATGACAGCGGGAACCCTTCTGGGCAGTTCTGCTCTGTGCTTTGGGGTCAATGGCTGTTAGACTCCGCGTGTCGGATTACTGTTACGTGCCGTGAGTCGTAGCTGAGTCTCCAGTGGTGTCCAGAGGCTGCGCTTTGCACAGGAGGAGTACGTGGTAGGCTCAAACCACCTGCCTTTGGGTTGGTAAGTTGGCCAGAGCACCTTTCTTGACAGCAGTGGCTCCATCTCTGTGGGAGAAGCCCTGGTGACACTGCAGTTCAGCACTGGGCTTGTCGAGAAGGTTAGAGGTTTGAATCCACCAGCTGCCTCTGAGAGGAAGATGACGCAGTCGGTCCTCATGAAGGTTTACCCCCTTGCGAGCTCCCTGGGAGTCCCTGCTCTGCCCGCCAGGGCTTCCTTCGCTGTGGGTTTTCAGTCTTTATGGCAGTGATTGCCAGGCCTTTCTTCCGTGGCACTGCTGTGTGGGTTCATGCGGCCAGGCTTTAGGGTGATAGTCTGCCCCCGGCAAGGTCCTGCGCGGTCAGGGCATTCGTGGAACATGGTTCCCAGACACAGTGACTCCTGAGGCTGGGTTCTCTGGAGTGACCATGAACGCACGCTGGCTGCTGGCCTGGGGCACCCATGTCAGCCAGTCCGTCGGTCCACAGGCTGGCAGGTGGTCTTTTCTGGACATTAGGTCTTGGCACCGCTGCTCTGGAAACAGTTGAGCAGAAAGAGCTGTGGGAAGCAGGCACGGCCAGGGTGGGACAGCTGGTGGTTGTCCTCCGTAGAAGGTCATGTCCTGCCAGGGCAGCGGGCTTGGGGTTCACTCCTGCTGTAGATCTGCCCAGATTCCTCAAAATAAAACCCACCAAAATGATTCTGACTCGGAGTGACCCCGTAGGGCCGGGTAGGAGGGCCTCAGAGCCGGAGAATCCAGGCTACGTCTGACGGATACAGTCTACTTCAGCCTTCTTCCACAGGATGGCTGGTGGGTTTGAACCAACAGCCTTTTGGTTGGCAGCCAAGTGCACACCATGGCACAGCCAGGCTCCTGTCTTAATTCCAGTGGCCGTAACTATGTCTGATGTCAGCCGGGCCTGCCTTACAGAAGGCTGACCAAAGGAAAAAAAAATGCGGTCTCATTTTTAGTGCAAATTTGGAAGAGAATTTAAAATGCATTCAGGAAATCTCCAGGGCAAGGCAGACAGAGCAGAGGAGAGCTAGGATGGGCCCACTACCTTGGTTTTTTTTTGGTTCAGGTGGAAAGGCTTCAGGGTCAGCCGTAGAACAGAGCTGAGGTCAGTGTGGCTGAGATCAGGCTTGGCTGCCCGAGGCCCCTTGGTTGGGCCCTCTGAGCTGGGTTGTTTGCACAGGGTAGGGTAGGGGCTGTTCCCTCCATCCCCGGGTGCCCCGAGGCTGCCCCCTCCATCCCCAGGTGTCCTGTCTGAGTTTCGGGTGCTTCCTTGTTTTTCAGAGCTCTGTTACTCTGTTATAGTGTCTCCTTTGGCTGCAGACGCACCACCACTCACATTAACCTGTCCCCTTGCAGCGTTTGCAAAGCTGACTTTCAGAAGTAGATTGCCAGGACTTTCTTCCTAGGTGCCTCGGTGAGGACTTGAACCACACACCTTTCCGTCACCTTGAGTGCGTGGACCACCCTGGGGGCACCTCTGCAGAGCTGAGCATGTGGAGGGCAGGCACTGGACGAGTGTTTTGTTGGAAACTTGACCTTCCCACCCCTTCTCTTTGCTTCCCTGCAGGTCCTGTGAGCCCCGCCCCCCCGGAACCATGGACGTGCACCTGTTCGACTATGCGGAGCCCGGGAATTTCTCTGACATCACCTGGCCCTGCAACAGCAGTGACTGCATCGGCGTGGACACGGTGCTGTGTCCACACATGTCCAACAAGAGCGCACTGCTCTACACGCTTGCCTTCATCTACATCTTTATCTTCGTCGTCGGCACGGTGGCCAACTCCGTGGTGGTCTGGGTGAACGTGCAGGCCAGGACCACGGGCTACGACACGCACTGCTACGTCCTCAACCTGGCCATCGCCGACCTCTGCGTGGTCCTGACCATCCCCGTGTGGGTGGTCAGCCTGGTGCAGCACAACCAGTGGCCGATGGGCGAGCTCACCTGCAAGGTCACGCACCTCATCTTCTCCATCAACCTCTTCGGCAGCATCTTCTTCCTCGCCGGCATGAGCGTGGACCGCTTCCTGTCCCTCACCTACTTGCGCAACGCCTCCGCGTGCAGGAAGAGGGCGGCCCGCCGAGCCGTCTGCGTCCTGGTGTGGCTGCTGGCCTTCTGCGTGTCCCTGCCCGACACCTACTACCTGAAGACCGTCACGTCGGCCGCCACCAACGAGACCTACTGCCGGTCCTTCTACCCCGAGCACAGCGTCAAGGAGTGGCTCATCGGCATGGAGCTGCTGTCCGTCCTCCTGGGCTTCGCGATCCCGTTCTCCGTCATCGCCGTCTTCTACTTCCTGCTGGCCAGGGCCATCTCGGCGTCCGGCGACCAGGAGAAGCACAGCAGCCGCAAGATCATCTTCGCCTACGTGGTGGTCTTCCTCGTGTGCTGGCTGCCGTACCACGCCGTGGTGCTGCTGGACATCTTCTCCATCCTGCACTACCTGCCCTTCACCTGCCAGCTGGACGGCTTCCTCTTCACCGCCCTGCACGTCACGCAGTGTCTGTCCCTGGTGCACTGCTGCGTCAACCCCGTCCTCTACAGCTTCATCAACCGCAACTACAGGTACGAACTCATGAAGGCCTTCATCTTCAAGTACTCGGCCAAAACCGGCCTCACCAAGCTCATCGACGCCTCCAGAGCATCCGACACCGAGTACTCGGCTCTGGAGCAAAACACCAAGTGAGGGGCCCCGGGAGCCGCCGCCCCAGGACCCTCAGGCTTGTTCTGCACGGGGCTTCTGGCTGCGTGCTCTTCAGAGTGGAACACAGCGGCTTCGGGTCTTGACGCTGGAGATGCTGGAGAAGAAACACACATCCACGCGCATTCCTCTCTCTCTGGCCCTCCCTGGCCCTGTCGGGGCCGTGTGTCCTGACAGTTTAGCATCACGCGGCTGTGTACCAAGCCTGCCTATATTTTGTGTCACACCAGCTTCAGGAGCGGCTTGCTCAAGCTTTTGTACTATAGGACCGTCAGAGTCCCAGGAATTGTTTTTTTTATATGATTATTTGTATTTAAATTCTTGGACTTTATTTTCTCGCTTTTGATGTACCTTTATACATACTTTTGAAAGTGAAATATATTTTAAATATTGTCGGGGAGGTGTCCGCTAGTCAGAAGGCTTTAGTTCTAAGATTAGCTCGACTTCAGTTTTGGCTAAGATGACATTCAATGTTAGCTGTTTTGAAATGTTCTATATAAAGCTATCTATCTATATATAAAGCTATATAATGCTATGCCAGCCGGGACGGAAATGATTATTTACAATAGTTTTCTATCTGTGGTGCTTTGGACCAGTGTAGAATGTGGAACGAACACTGCTCTCGGATGCAGACTGTGACATTATTGGTCTTGTGATGTTATGTTAGAAATAAACAGAAAACAAGCTGTTCCAGGTGCCACGTCTGTGCACAAAACGAACAGTCCTATTTAGAGTTCTCTCAATGTGTAAGTTATTATTTTTTTGAATAAAGTTTGTTTTTCCTAAAAAAGGCGCGTGAGTCTCAGTTTTAAAAGCATGTAGGTAGCACAGTTTTAAGAGTACACGGGTACACGTGGCATAGGGAAGCTGCTGGTGGTCTGATTCTGGTTCATGATGACCCCTGACTGCCGAAGTGTTGTGTGGCTTTTTATTTTTTATTTTTAAAAATTGTGGTTAGCTCTGGTGGCCTAGTGGCATGAATCTGCACTGCAATCCCAGAGATAGGCGGTTCGAATCCACCCAATGCTCTGTCAGAGAAGATGGGGCAATCTCCTCCTGTACCAGTCAGATCTGATTTGCTGATACTCACACACAAATAATAAAATAAAAAAAAATGTGGTTTGGGTGAAAGTTTACAGAGCAAAAAGGTTTCTATTCAACAATTCATACACATGTTGTGACATTACTTACAGTTCCATGGAAGAGCATCTTCTCACTCCCCGCCTGTGGTTCCTGTTTCCACTCACCCTGCTTTCCAGTCCCTTCCTTTACTCCGAGCTTTATCTCTGGGCTTAATGCCGCCCTTTTGTTCTGGTGTGGTTGGTGGTGCTAAGGAGTGCATTCCTCTGTGGTCCTACTGTCCACCTCACAGTTCACGCATGTCCCTTGTGTGCCAGAACTTTAACTGTGCTTTGCATTCTTAGTTTTTATAAGTGGATATCCAGGCCTCTCCTGTGAGGGGCCTCTGGGTGGGCTACGACCTCCAGTGGTTTGTTTAGCAGCCAAGCACACTCACCACTTGTACTGCACAGAGACTTCACGGTCTAAATATCTTCCCTCTTGACTCTCACGGCCCTGGAGTCAAAACCGACTCCTGCTTCCCCACCCGTTGGGTTTCTGAGGCTGTAAATCACGCGAGAGAAGACTGTCCTTTCTCCTGGACAGCTGCGGCTGGATTTGAACACGCAGAGTGCTTTGGCCTTTGTGTGAGCAGCATAGCTCTTTATGGGCTGTGCCCTCAAAGGCTCCCCAGCTGTTCCATAGACATAACTTAAAAAGAGTTCTAGTGTCTTTCATTTTGAGGCTCCGCCTAGGTTAATTCTGAAACCACTTCCTGCACCCCCGTTTGCCTTGCGATGACAGAGCAGCTCTGAATGAGTGTGGCCCTTGGCTGTCAGCTGTCCACGCTGGCCCCCGCCGAGATGTCAGTGCCGACAGGTGCTCCGGTCTCCTGTGCACCTGTGTGCCATTCTGCTGTCCCGCCTGTCCTTCCCTGGTTATGTCCAGTCCTTGGGATCACACGGCAGTAGCTTTCTGCACTGAAGTGCTGAGGGGAGAGGGAGAATGTCCCTCCACTGGAGCTCAGTGGCCCACTGAGTGGGCGTGCATGGACAGCCCCATGCAGCCCTTGCTGGGTGAATAAACCAGGGACAGCCCCAAGCAGCTCCCCCTGAGTGGATGCACCAATGGACAGCCCTATGGAGCCCTTGCTGGGTGGACACACCACGGACAGCCCCATATAGCCCCCACTGGGTGGATGCACCATGGACAGCCCCAAGCAGCCCCCACTCGGAGGACACACTATGGACAGCCAACCCCTTGCAGCCCCCACTGGGTGGACGCTCCATGGACAGCCCCATGCAGCCCTCGCTGGATGGATGCACCAGGGACAGCCCCAAGCGGCCTCCACAGCTCCAAGTGGCCCCCACTGGATGGACACACCATGGACAGCCCCATGCACCCCTTGCTGGGTTGACACACCATGGACAGCTCCATGCAGCCCCCACTCGGAGGACACACTATGGACAGCCAAACCCTTGCAGCCCCCACTGGGTGGATGCTCCATGGACAGCCCAATGCAGCCCCCACAGCCCCAAGCAGCCCCCACTGGGTTGTGGTGGTGGTTATGTGACGTTGAGTCGCCTGCGACTTATAGCAACCCAATATACAACAGCCCTAAACCCTGCTCTGTCCTGTACCAATCTCACTGTCTCTGACACACCTACTCCCACTACCCCAGTCAGTGAATCAGTCCATCTCATTGAGGGTCTTCCTCTCCTGCACTGTCCCCCCACCCTCCCAAGCATGATGTCCCTCTGCAAGGACTGGTCCCTCCTTGCAACATGTCCAAAGTGTGTCAGATGGAGCTTCAGAATCCTTGTCTCCAAGGAGCAGGCTGGGGTAGATGCACCAAACCCTACAGCACAGAGGCAGAGCATGCAACCTCTTCCATCACAGACCCCTTCAGGGACATCTCACCTTGAGGTGGGTTCCGTTCCAGGTGTTGACCAGGGACCCAGCTCTGTACTCTTCCGAAACCCCTTCTTTGTTGAGTCTAGGGACTGAAGAAGACTTGCACAGCTGAACTCAATTATCTAGGCTCCAAGTTCTCTGAGCGTCTGTGGTGGGTGGAAACCAAAGCCCCTTTGCTCTGATTTTGGCTATAACCTTCTTACCTGGACCCTCTTGCTGTACTCAGCAGCCACAGGTAGGCTGAATGGAACAGGCTGAAGGTTACAGCGTGCCTCGGGGAGAATCATCAGTAAGCATTCTAGAATCTCTCGTTCTACGTGGATGCCAGCCGGGGCTCAGCTCTCCTTCCTGTGGTTAAGACCAGGCTTCTGTATCTTGAAGCCCTGGTTTCCTCCCTGCTAGCCAGACTCTGACGGCCTCTAGTCCACTGGGTGAGCATGACGGTCACACTGATGTTAGCCATCATCCTGGTGCCCCAACTCACAGCCGCCACTTAGACGGAACGAAGCCCCACCTGGTCCTGCGTCATCCTCATCTCTGCCGTGCTCCCCTCTGCCGTGGCCACACTGTCAGTCCATCTCACCGAGGACCTTCCTCGCCTTTGCTGACCCTCTGCTTTCCCAAGCATGATGCCCTCCTCCAGGGGCTGCCCGCTTCTGACAGCGGACTCCACATGGGCAAGGCTGTCTCCCCTCTGCTCCTAGGGAGCCCACTTGCTTTCCCAAACCAGGTTCGGCTGCCCGCGGGTGATCATTCTACCTGCATCTCCATTCCAAGCAGGGCAGGCTCACGGGTTCTGGGAGGACTTAGCATTGTCTCTTTGGGGTCAGAATAAAATCTGTAACTTATTTCCCTCAGCCTAGAACTACTGCATTTTCACCTAGAAAATGTTCATGTAAATAGCATGCACGTACACACACACACAGACACAGACACACACACAGAGACACACAGACAGCAGACAGACAGACAGACACACACACACACACACAGACACACACACACACACACACACACACACACACACACACGGCACCGAGAGGCAGCTATCTCACAGGGCTGCACGGTGTAATGTCACGTGCTGTTGAAGTGGAACCTAGCTGACTCTCCAGCAGATTTTCAGAGGCAGCGAATCACACAAGAGGAGACTGCCTGTTCCTGTCCCACAGAGCAGCCAGTAGATTAGAACTGTGTGCCTTGGGGTTGTCAGTGCAGCTTCGTACCACAAGGCCACCAGAGCGCAGTGGAGAGAGAGAGAGTGTGTGCATTGTAGAGATCAAAGGTGAACATGCTCGTGAAAAAAAAGATCAGTTCAATCATCATTGCAACAGAAGTGGATGAAGCCATGCAAACTCCAAATTTTCCAATCGTCTGGCCTGATTAACTCTCTTTGTCTGAGGTCAGGCACCGTAGAGTCTGACCCAGCAGCCACACGTACAACAGAAGCCAAGCCTGCCCGACGCTGCAGCATCCAGACCTCTCGGCTTGCTGCAGCACCGATTCAGTCCCTGCATCATTGCACTGAGGGTCCTCCTCTCCTTTGCTGTTGCTCAGGACATGAGGTCCTTCCCCAGATACCATCTGTGATACCCGATACCTGATAGGTGAGAGGAGGCGCCATCCTGCCTCCTAACGAGCACTCCGGCTGCGCTTTTCCCAGAGCAGATTTCCTCGTTCCTCTGGCAGCCCACGGATGTTCAATCTTCCTCAGCCACACTGCAGTTCAGACACATCACTTCTTCATCTTCGCACTCCCCTAGCACTCAGCTAACATGCTTGCTGATCTGTTGGGAGGACTGAGACTCCTCACAGCTCTCACGTACCTGCCAGTGACAGTGGTTCAGCCGTACAATTCTCACCTTCCCTGCAGGAGACCTGGGTTCAAGCCCCAGGCCATACACTTCACGTACAGACATCTCACACACACCACACACACACACACACACACACTCTCACGTCAGTGGGGGCTTAGGTGTTGATATGATGCGGGGCAGTTTTCAGTCGAGCTGTGG